TTTAACAATTTAATAACATTTATTTTCATGGAGAAAAAAATGTAACCAAAAATAAAAACGTAAACATTAAGTCAAATTCAAAACATCTGCTGAGTGCAGATGCAGAACCAACATTTGAAATGAAAACTATGTTGCATCACTACAGTATAAAGAAACCCAATAATTGTAATCAAGCTATATAAAGGACTGTGTGTGTGTTAAAATTTTTTGGGTCCATATAAATATATAATTTTATATTTATATATTAATTATACCCTGTGACATGGCCAGAAGTTAAACCCAGTAGCCACTGTCCAGCAGAACATTCACGTACAAATTCGCACACAAAAATATAATACAAAATAAATCATCCATTCACCCGCTGACATATATATATATATATATTATATATTTATCTCTATATATGTGTATATATATTATATATAGATATACACTCAAAAAGTTAATATTAAAGAAAAGGAAGTATTTTATGTGTATCATTGTATTATGACTCAATAGAAATTATCTTACTTTTATTTGCAATAATTAAAAACAAAAAACACATTAAGGCTAAATATAATCTAAAGCTTAATTCTTTGATTTCAACTTTGATTGCAGGAGTTTCATATTTTCCTGTGTGATTGAATTTTGAGGATTCAATTGAAAAGATTGTTTGTAGTAGAGCAAAGCATCAGAGTACCTGCCCCATCTGTGATACAATACACCTGTTAATAAAAAAAAATCAGCATTTTACTTTTACTACAATGGAAAATAAAACCTTAAATACATAATATATAAGCTGAAATATAACTAATATTTTAAAATAGTATTTTTTTTAGTTTTAATCAATAGGTTAAGTACTTCAGAAATGAAACTTATGGTACCTAGATTTAAATAGATATTTGCATTCTGTGGATCTCCTCTTAGTGCTTCATGGAACAACTTTTCACTTTCATTATATTTCTCCTGTTTGCCATAAACATTGGCTAGGCTAAATTTGAGTGCACTGTTGTTAGGCAAAATTCTTAAAGCTACCAGAGCCAGGCTGGCTGCCTTTTCATGCTGATCTGAAGTAATACATTTTATTTCAAATATTAGTTCAATAATTTTAATATTAAAAAGCAATGCAAGGACTCCTTTTTATACAACTTTAACATTGTGTACTTTTTAAAAGAGTTTTGTTCTGTGTACTTTTTAAAAGAGTTTTGTTCAGACTTACTTAAATTATCAAGTAAAATAATTGCATTATTCCAAGAATTCCAGTGTGTAGGTTTTAAAACTGTAGCGTTGTGCCATGCCTCTAAAGCATCTTGAGAACGACCCATGTCAAGGTACTGTAATATAAAACCATTGCAAACTAAAAAAGAAAAACAATGACTTATATTTTAAAGTATTTTATGATTTTTTTTTACTTATTTTATCTATGAGAAATTTGTGTTCACCAAATTGCCTAGATTGTAATAGCAATCAGGATAGTTTTTTCGATAATGAATTCCTCTTTTGTAGCTAAACTCAGCTTCTGTAAACTTTTTAAGGGCAGCCTTGACAATACCCCTATTCATCCAAGCAGCAGCAAAGTCTGATCTAAACAAAATAAAATATTTAATGAAATAAAAGAAATAAAAAATTAACACACAGCAGATCTGAGTCTAAAGACATGAGTGGGAGACCTTTATTTGCAGCTCTATAAGTTGAAAAGTGTACAGCTCTAAATGCCAAAAAGTGACAGAAAACAATGAAATATTATGCGGACACTATTAAATTCAATTATCATCCTAAGGTAATTAATAAATCTTACGATATAGATACTGCTTTATCAAGAAGTTGTTCTGCTTCCTCTGTCAAATTGTTATCTTTGAGAATGTTTGCAAGATTATTCATTGCTTGATCATACATAGGGTTCAGTCTAGTATAGAAAAATATAAATAATAAAGTGGAAATTTAGTTATCATCTCAGATATCAGCTCGGAAATCAAGGAAATATACATTTTAAACGTCTCAGATAGCAAACATTATTTAAAGAGTAGTAACTAACCTTCTAAAAAATGAGGTAGAAATATTCCCAAATAATTTAAGTTGTGAGACATTACACGGAAATTTAAAAAAAATAATTGTACATTGCAGTAGCCAAAGAATATTATTATATTATTAAGTTTGTTGTGCTACATTAATCTCTTAAAAACATCTTTTTCTACTTCATAAATGCTTCAGAAAGTGATGTTTTCTTTAAAATGTATTAAAAGTAATTAACCATGTAATTTAACAGTTAAAACTAGTTCCACAATAAAAATGAAGTGATAGGTAGTTTAGGTTATCGAGCGGTATGAAAAGACTAAGGAAAACTGTAAGGAAAGAAATGGTTTTCTCATTATTTATTATCTTAATTAGTTTAGTTGTAAATAAAAGTAATATATATGAATTGCACATGTCTTAGTATTATCTTTTAACCATATCATAGCCTTTAAAAAATTTACCTTTTTATCCTATTCTTTAAGGCAAAATAAAATAGAAGAAACAGCTTTTTTAAAAAAGTGGCAATGCATAAAGATTGCTTTTTTTAATAGCAGAAATTTCCTCAAAAAAAAAAAAAAAAGTAGGATTCTATTTAAAAAAACGACAACCCAGGAACATTTTATCTGTTATACACTATTTATTAAAACTTAGGTTGAAATTGTTAATACCTAGTTTAGGGTTTCTAAAAAATGTTCTAAGTAAATACAATAAACTTACTTAATGGCCAGTCTGTAATGTAACTGAGCTAATGTTGTGTTCCCAGAGTCAGCACTTAGCTTACCAATATTATAGTGGACCTAGAAATTTCCAATCATAAAATTGAAAAATAATAATTTATAAGAAAGTCAATCTGAGCCATGTATATTTTAAAAGTAACTATCCATCAGTACCCTTTACACGTAAATTATAAGCCCATATTTTTTAAATGTTATAGTGTTTGCGAAAAATGTTTTTAAAAAAAAATAATTGGTCAAAACACAATGTGCTTTACTACATGTTGAAAGATATTTAATGACAAGGAAAGAATAAACTAAATAGCTAAAAATTTTACCAAATTATATATATTATTAGTCAACACAACAGATTAAGTGACTTAAATGATTCCATTAAAAACCTGGCTATTCTATAGTAATTTTGTTTTTAAAACTTATTTTTATTATTTTTGGCTGAAAAAATTGTATAAATTTCATAGCGTAGGTCTTAATAAGTAGATCTATAAATCTTAATCAAATTTTAATGAAATAATTCATTTCTTCATATTCTAAAATTGGAAGATGTGGGAAGCAAATCTTATTGAAAATGACATTATTAATATTATGTATCATTTTCGATATTCAATTTTTGTCCTAAAATCAATGATGGCATTAGTATTGTGTACTTTCTGTAGTTTATTTTTTATCAACATTGTTCTTAATGATATTTTATATATTTGTTTCATAATGATATTTTATCTATTCGTCATAACTATAAACACTTCTCCAGTTGCATAATTAAAGATTAGTTAGTACATTTGAATATGCCTTGACTTTTATTTTCCGTCTTTAAATAAAATTTAGTTTATACATTAAATACATCCAACATCTTATTTTTAACTAAAGTCTATATCCTTAAGTTCTCCATATCTTACTGAAGATACTGATCTCATAGCCTTGTAAAATTAGTGACAAAGAGAGAGAGAGAGAAAGAGAGAGAGAGAGAGAGAGAAAAAAAGAGAAGTGTGCACATGGGCTTTTATATTTTAGGAAAGTTTACCTTAGCATTGAGAGGACAAACTTTTTCTCCTGATTTAAATAAAGAAATACCTCTTCGCCATTCGCTGCTTCTCTAAAAATTCATAATATGTTAATGTGTGACTTTCAGGAGCATCTTATAACATCTTATTAGCTATATTAATTTTAAACAAAAGAAGTTAGAATACACTTTAAAAAATGTCATAGAAATATACCTGTATTGATCGAAGAAAAAATACTAATAAAAGTAATACAAATCCAGCAAAAGCTATCTGAAAAAATATTTTTTAAAAAATGTCACAAAAATGTTTTTGTAAATATTTACAAAAATAAATAATAGAGGAAATGAAATAGCTAGAAAATTGTTTAACTTACTAACTTAGCATTAAAAAAATATTGATATAACAAATTTACATGTTTAAATTTATTGATTTTGCACAAAGCTTTGAGCCCTAAAACAATTAGAATGCAAAAACCAGCGGAAGGTATATACAAAACTCGCTCTGCAACAACAAATCCAACTCTAAATAAAATATTTGAGGCTGGGAGGAAGGGTACAGCTATTAAAAGCACTGCCAAAATAAGTGATCTGTTGAAAACAAATAACATAGATATTTATACTATAAGTTTACTATCTCTTGTTACTGTTAATTGTGTATTTATTTGTTATGTTTAAAAATATAACATCACTTTTTTAATGAAATAAACATTTCATGTCCAGCATTTATTTTTTTTAATATGAAACATAAACAAGCAAACCTGTTTGATTTCAAACAAAGGCATCTCCTTGCTATTAGCAATAAAACTATCCAAAAAATACAAACAACCAAAATGCGAGGATCAGTAACTGAAGTTATTGTGGGAATACAGCCCATGGACCAATCAAAGCAAAGCCAATGGGCAGATAACAAAATCCAGCTATTGATTGCATATAAGTAGTTATAATTAATTGCCTGATGAAGAGAAAATGTTGAAACAATAAAATTATTATAGCAGTGTTTTTAGTTCATTTTAAAAGTCAAACTTAGACCATTGAAAATGAAAGCAAAAATATTTATGTGCCATGACACAGAAAACAGGAGATAAAATATGTTCATTTAACCACCAATTCTTACCCTAAAAATTGTTCCATTGACAAATGAATGGGGGTTATCATGAATTTGAAATATAGGAGGTGCTGATCCCATAACTCGCCACCGAACAACCAGTAAAAATACAGCTGATACAGTGAGTAAAAGTTGTCGTTTGATCAGTGCCATTTTCCAATTGTCTTCTAAAGCAATCTTCTGAATAAAAAAAATATACTTTTTAGAAAATATTTTTGAATAAAATTTAAATATATTATGACAAGCCGACCTGCGGCGTATTACACTCCGCTATTTAGTTTTATTTTCTACTTTTCAGTAATTCATAATTTGTGAATTCGACAGTACCAATGCTGTCACTGAAAATATTTGCTTTAAAACACTAAAACCTTCCTTTCCCCCAAACCCCCCCCAAGGTGAAAGCAGCCTCCTCTTAGTTACCTCCCCTAAGTTTAAAATAGTTTCAAACTAAATTAACTGCCCCTAATAGGCATCACTAAACTCGGCTCTACGATTGTAAACATTTAGCGTGGGGGTGGGGGTGGTTGCGATATGCCTAGAGAGGGGACTGCTAGGCGCGTTTACAGCTTGGTGTTTTTTCTAACTTCTCCATGAAGAGAATTATATATATAGATTGGTAATTGAAAAAATAATGTATTGAAATACCAGGTGTAGAAAATCTGATACCATCTCAATCTTTATATACATCTACTAGCTGCATACCCGTGCTCAGCCACGGTAAATCTTTTTTAAATGTACCAACTTGGGAACAGAACAAAACAAACAAAAACACAACACAAACAAAACACAACCACAACATTAGAATCACCACAGAACAACACGCTTTCCTAGGCGTCCGCGCCCAAAGATAGCCTTTCCAGCATAAAAAATTTAAGTCACATAAATCCTACTTCATAACTTACAACAAAACAATGCGATGCAAATAAATGTACGGCAAGTGGTGTTTACTTTTATGGTTCTAAGAAAACACATTGGCAATGTAATTAGAATCACCACCGAAAAACACGCTTTTCCCAGGCGTCCACGCCCAGAGAGAGCCTTTCCAGCATTCTCTATACTATAATTCTAATCTATAATTTCACCATCTGTTAACATCGAAAAACAAAAACAAAAACTAGTTATTGTGAGAGATCATAGACTAATTAGAAAATAATATAAATAATCTTAACATCTTTCTATTTTACTTATGAACCTTAACATATAATAATTAATGCGGTAGTAATACAAAAAATTGACTTAAATTATTGAGAGTTGAATATTAAAAACACATTTTCCCAGAGAGAGCATTTCCAGCATTCTCTAAAAGTCTAATTTCACAATCTGTTTTAATAACACCGAAAAACAAAAAATAGTGATTTTAAGAATTCATAGGCTAATTAGAAAATAATGTAAATAATCTTAACATTTTTCTATTTTAATTATGAACTTTAACATATAATAATCAATGCGGTAGTAATAAAATTAACTTAAATTATTGATGAGTTAAATTTATTTTTAAATTACCTCCCTTGCAAAAATTACCAAAAAAAAAGTTGAATTAATTAGTTTTTTCGACCTACTGTTATGAAAATGTATCCACTTTTTCTAGGAATGTAAACGAAAAAGATGTTTGACATTGATCCTTTTAATGTTTTAGCAATGTACGTTTATTTAATATTTTCTTTACGTTATGCAAAAGTGTAAAAACAGTGACAACTATAAAATAATTTTATGTCGTTGTATAAACAAACCCTACTCTAATACTTATTATAAAACACTGCAATGCACTGTAAAGTACTGCATGGTGTGATGTTTACTTTTATGGTTCCAAAATCTATAGGATGACGGACTGACACACTACCTAGCTGCTTATATTATAGATAAAAGGTTGGTCAAAGCCACCATCTATAACAAAATCATTTTTTCCATGAGGGTCACCATTTTTTAAAATATACAAACATTGCAATAAAAATATGGAGTGAAAGTATTAAAGTTTGGAGATCTTTACAGAAGAAACAGATTAGCCAAAAAGTCGTGATTTTGATGTTTTATTTACTAATTGAAATTTTAAAATTTTAAATTAGTTAACCATTTTTTTTGGAGATCCAGTTACAACTGTGTTAAATATAGGCATGGCTGTTAAATATATAAATAAAAAATTAACATCACAATTAAATTTAAAATTATTTGTATTAGTAGTCATTTATCACTCTTTTTTAGGGTAAAACTGCCAATATTGTTAATGACCTGTAAAGAAAGTGATTTGTATACATTATATTGTTTGTTGTGTTCATTGGTTAGAGCAATAGGCCTACCACTCCAAAAGTTATGTATATATTATAACCATCAAACTCATTTACTGACTGCCTACACAATGCCAAGCATTATTGAAAGTACAGTGATACTAGATGTGGTATTTTTAAAAAATAAATTTCAACTACCATTTTGCTCCAAGATAATAACAATTGTTAACTCTAGGATAAAACAGTTAATGCCTAGAGACAGAACTCGCTTGACATACTCTAACATTATATATATACATTGGCCTACAGATGGGCTGATAACATTTTCATTGTAGGCCCTATATATTTATTTTGCATTAATTGGTATGATTTCGATTGTGTCATAAGCTCGTTCCATTAAACAATTATGATACAACGATGATGATCAGCTCCTGGTCAAGATAATAGGATACAAAGTAAAATAACTCACTTTGTGTAGTCAATAGAAAAACAGATTTACTTTCTCCATTTTGAACAATCCTCTAAAACCTGACAGACCACAAAATAACTGATAAAAGTACACTCGAACCTATTTAGCCAGACATTGTGATCTGTTTGTTTCCATCAGGTTTTCCCCATATACCTTTCAGTAACTTATACGTTACCTACAGCCTCGAGCTGAACTCGTAACTTAAGGTTTACAATCCAACATTCTATAGATAGATTCTACAACATTCTACAACACTTTCACTAGAGATAGACATGAATTGTAATTCAGTTTTCAGAATTTCTAGATTTTTTTTTCACGTTTAATTCATTGTCTACAAATAAATAGCTGGCAGATTGGCACAGCTATAGAGTTAGAAAAACAATTACATCTGAATTTACATCTTCAACATTTACTGTGTTCAACTAATCAATCTCCATGTACTTAGAAAACATGTTCAACGTTGCCTTGTTGATTGTAGTTTATAACTGACTTGTGCTTTATCAAAAATAAATTCAGTATGCTTCTATTCTATTTCTTTCTGATAAGTAGTTTTTGACTACTTCACTTTATTTGTTAACATCCATAAAGTGTGTTACTGCTTGACCAATCAATATCCTAAACAATAATTCTGTTGCTAAATGCGTTTTATATTTTATTATTTTTAAGTTTCTGAGACCTTAAATGCATTTAATAATAGAAATAGGCTATCTGATATATTCATCTGAATTTACACTGAATATAAAAAAAACTACTTAGTGTTCTAGTTCTGGTAGCTGTTTTAATGGACCTTTTTTTTTTACCACAAAATGGAACTTGATTTACGGGTGCCCAGTTTAAAACTAAAAAATTTTGAAAATAATGACCACCCTTACATATACACCTATAGATTTTTTGTAGGCATAAATATACTTTTTAACTGAACTTTTTTTTACCACAAAATGGAACTTGATTTACTGGTGCCCAGTTTAAAACTAACAAATTTGAAAGATAAAGACAACCCTATATATATATATATATATAAATATATATATATATATAAATATATAAATATATATATATATATATATATATATATATATATATATATATATATATATATATATATATATATATATATATATATATATATATATATATATATATATATATATATATATATATATTTCTGTAGGCATAAATATACTTTGTTTTGCATTTTAAGGAAGTATGTCCATTCTTATAACTAACATAAATCTTACCTTTTCTAGTAAAATGCTTTCACTTACATTTTTATACTTTTGATGCACTGTTATTGAGTAATTGTAGCTTCTGGACATTTTGTAGGAATTATATTTACAAACTGCCAGAATATCATAGGCACTGCAGATTCCCTGAAAATTGTGTAATAAATAAATTGGGAATAAAATTTTCTCTATATAAATAACAAGTCATAATGATTATTATCATAATTTAAAATTTAATTAATTTAAAAAGAATATACTAATAAACTCTAATGTGCTACTGATTTAGAACAATGCATTTTTACCAAGGTAATTGATAAGAGAACAGCCTAGTGGATTCATTTATTAAGTATTAAAAAAAAGGATTGCTGACATTTTTGCAGATAATCAAATGTAGAGACCATTATAAAATATAATTTATACTCACAATTACTGTAATTCCTTGTTCTTTACTAAAAGTTGCACATGCACAAAATGACATGCTTATGATTATCCATAAGTATGAGCAATTACTGGGACAGAATGCTGACTCTGCAATAATTTCAATAACATTATCAATTTTTTACATGGATTTAAAAAAAAATGTGTACCTGTTGAACTTGAGATTTCCTAGGTGAATGCTGCAAGCTCTATTTGACTATTCATTTTTTAAACTTAAAAAAAAAACAGAAGTAATGATTTTGATTCCTAGGAGAGACATTTTAGCGCTTGGTATTTTGAAGTGTCTACATACTAAAAATGGACGCAGCTGTGAATAGTCTTGAAAAAAATCAAATGGTGTAGGCCTATAAAATATTTTTAAAATCATGTATGGTGTTACATAAATTAATGTGATTAGAAAAATTTATTGTCAGTTTTTGTCAGACTTTACTAAACATTGGATGTATTTGGTGTTTTTAGTATTTTCAAAATAAAATAAAGCTAAAAGCAATTTGTTTTTTTTATCATTAAATATAACTGTGTAACTAAAACATTGCTGAGTTAGGACATGCGGTTTTAATTTTTAAAATTTATTGGCAAGATTTGAGTACGAATTACTATGAAGTGAGGTTTAAAGAAGATCAATCACAGGATTCCTGTACAGCCAATCAACTTCAGGTTATAATTTAGGCTTGATGAAAATAAATAGAAATGGAGCCTAAAACGCAAAAAAAATTTCATGTTCCCTGAATTTGCAACATTCAGACATTGATTCTAATAAATATTACATTTTAGAATTGATTTCAGAACTATGTTTTTTTTTTGAGATTTTTTTTACAGCTGCTTTGATGGCAAAATTGAAAAAAAAAAACCTCACTTTTTATCTATGTCAACAATAAAGATAGAACCCATCTCGTTAAAATCATCCGCCTCCATTAATATACAAAAATAAAAGAACTGTCATCAGCATGATTTTTAAAAATATACTACCTCATTATCATCTTATCAAAACACATTGAAAATTTCTGTAATTCATGTAATCATTGTTATATAAAAGAACATAAAATACCTCTAGTAATTCCTTTAACATACATTAGAAAAGATAGAATAAAAAACAAGGCACACAGTAAATCAGCACGTCCAACAACACCTGCAACCTGTTTAGACAAGGGGGTGGAAAGAAGAAATCAATTTTTAAAAAGTTTTTAAAAATAAAAAAACATCAGTCTAAACACTTTAAAGATTTTCAGAGCAAACAAAATCACATTGATCTATCTATATACATAAAAAGCAATGTATGTGTGTCTTTTATGAATTACTATACTTTTCATCTGGTCGGCATGAAACTTTGGGAAGTTGTTGAGAATATTCTGGGGAGGTTTCTGCGAAAATTTTTTTTCTAATTTCCAGGGGTGGTACTCCAGCAGGGCATGATTAAATTCTTCTCTATATACGGTATATAAAAAATAAAAGTCGATTGCGGTTTGACACTGTTCATATGATCGCCATGTTGATTGAAACTCTCCAGGGGAGGTTTCTGCAAAACAATATTTTATAATTTAGCAAGGGTGGTACCCCGGGAGGGTGCAATTTTTCTCTAAAAAATAGTTGGATGTGGTCCAACACTGTTCACCCGAGAGCTTTGAAACTTAGGAGAGTTGATGAGAATACTACCAAGAAGGTTTCTGGGGGAAAAAATTAAATTTGACTGGCGGCCCCAGGCCGGGTGTTATTTTGCGCCCCGGGCTATCCCGTGAGCGATATGGCGCCTACATCTGTTTTAAACATTGCGAAAGACTTTGTATAAGATTGGATTTTAGAGTCGTTCACTAAACATAATCAGACGCATGCAACGGCACCGCCCTGTAGGGCGCGATTTGGATATGGTGGGTGACTATAATCGTTGAAAATTAAATCAACGGTGTCCACTGGCACCCCCGCTGCCATTTGACCTGATGTGCCCCAAGCTATGACATGAACACTGTGTGTAGTGCCACACACTATGAATACACTATAATCAGGTAGCTAAAGTATCAAAAAAGTTATTTTCAAGTTATATAATAAGAAATGCACAAGTCTTTGGGACGGGGTGGTTGTGCTAACATGTTAATGTCAAACTCACATCCAGGGCTAGAGTCCTGAGTCCAATAAACTAAGATGGTTACATGACTCACATAAGGGAAAGCTGGCTGGGCATAGTGGGAAATAGAATATCCCCTCATATGATGAGGTCAATGAAACAGGTAAACTTCAACTGCCCCATGAGGGAAAAATTCATGTTATCTGGTTGACGATTTTCTTAAAAAGAACGAATTTCCATTAAAAAACTTACGTCTCTGTCAGGAGCAAAGAGTAGATATTTTTATTGTAAAATAAAAAACGAAAAATATTTTCTCACACTTTCAGTGTGCACAGGATGAACAGCAAACAACAAACTGCATAGTAGTGATGATTTTGGTGATGAATGCATGGCGTTGATAGATAAAACAACCTTATAAGCAGGCATCAATAAGACACAAACAAATCCATGTAGAAGGATATTGACGATGTGAAAACCTTTAGGATAAAGCCCGCCAGCAGCCCAATAATTCCATCTGTGACAAAAAAAAAATTGGAATAGCAATAAAAAAAATTATTTCTAAAATACATTCTAAAATTTTTTAAAGTATTTAAGTTAAAATGATTAACTGAGTATATCCAGACAACTGCAGAATAATGATAAGTAATTTTGATTACAAAGCTATTATCGTGTTTAAAAGATGAAGACGAAAATTAACCTGAAGGTCAAAACTGTTATAGGTCTGTAGGATTTGTGACTCAAATTACTGAGTTTTCTTCCCCAAAAATCATTTTCTAACAGATTGCTGATTGGAGTGCTTGGTAGAAGATCTTTATTATTTTCAATTGCTTCTGTATCATCAAACACAAATTCTCCATCATAACTATTCACAAAGCAGAGTACTGCCACCATAAAAATTATAACACCAGCCTGAAATGTACTGAAAAGTAAATTTAGCTAGACACTTACCTAATTGTATCTAATTAAAACTGGAAAACAACAATTTACTACATTTTTGTAATTTTCTCAGTCAAATATTTTTTCTTGGGCTTAGATCTTGTTATGAACTTTTACTTAATTCACAAAATCTGTGTCCTTCTTCCGGTCAGCTTGTGGCAAATCTCGAAACTCAATTTCTAACCCATTTATAATGCTATGTTCTCATTCAAACTTTCCAAAAACATTAATCTAAGACGTTGCAAGAATAATATCTAATTTTTAAATTTAATTAAATATTAAATATGTCATTAAAAATTTATTTGAAAATTACTATATGAAAAAACAAATGGGGAGATTAGGTACTAGCGATAACTCAATTAGTTAGGTGGTGGCGGTGAGCTATTGAACACATATGATTTTACACCTGAGAGCACATCAATAAGGAGAGAGATAATTGTTTTTTTAGAGTAAAGATTGAAATCTAATTGCAGTTTTTCAAAGCAGAGTTTAAACATTTAAAACTGGTAAAAGGGGAGAAACTTTCCCTTTTTAATAAAAGCATTGTGTCTAAATTGCATAGGCTATTTTAATATTAAGTGAACTTAAAAGCTTATTATCATAAACTCTTTTATTAATATTTTCTTTTCTTGTTTTTTGTAATTTTTTTTTTAGAAATTGACACCACATACAACTAAACTTTAACTTTATAACCCAATCAGTAGCTGGCGATCTCTAAAAGACAGTTATCTGCCCCTTCTTAACAACAGAGCTATGTGGAAAGTGTTCATGCCAAAAAGGCTGATCAAGTATTGCTTACGATAAATTATTTGTTATCTTTCTTTTTCTTACTAAATTTAGAAATTTTACATTTCTAGTTAGATTAAAAATTTAGTTACAAACCCCAGATACCAAAACTAAGCTTTTTATATCTAAAAAAAAAAATAAAATAAAATAAACCACTATCAAAATATGTAGCTGGAAAGCATGGACACTTGTATAACTTGTAAAAAATTGAAACAATGAGGCTGCCGGAAAGGACAAAGGAAAAGCCTTATGACTGGATATGAGAAATCATTGGCATGAAGAAGCAAAATATTATCAGGCAGTAGCAGTGATGCTTAATGAATGAGCTTCTGATGCTCTGCTGGCTTTTAGACTATTAGATGAAAGTATATTGAATGTCAGACTACTGGGATCAAAATATGCAAAACTAAAGTATGCTGTGCCTCAACAGAAAATGCTAAAAAAAGAAATGAAAGGAAGATTCTATTACATTACAGTCTAAAAACAGTATTAGACATAGTGCCATATCATGATGTTTCTTGTGTTCTTAGATGACTTTAATGCCAAAGTTGGAAGCAACAGAAAACACAGACAAACAATTGAAGGATTGGGAACCAAAAACACATGGGAATCAACAGATGGTAAAACAGAAAACAAAATGATCAGGTATTTATAAACAAAAATGGAAAGATCCCTTCAAAATATAGCAGTGAAGAGAGTATCTGATATTAGCAATGATCACTTTTAATTATTATCAAAACCAAAATTATGAAACAGAATGCAGCAATAGACAAGTAGATTAAGTAACAGATTATGCCAATTAGGTGACTGCAACATTGAAATTTAAACACACTTCTAAAGCCAAGAAGGCCTTCACAGCTATGCAGAAAATATGGCAAAGAAAATCTAAAAGACCAAATGCTGAAAAGCAACCACTGTAACATTTTACCACTGGATTATTTACAAACTAAGTAAACTACCTAATAATAATCATTAAAAAAGTTTTAAAAAAAACACGTTTTCTGATTGAACTAAAAAGTAGAAAATAAATGCTATACATCACAATAATGCAAGCGATCACTCTACTATAAGCGATGAAAAACGTGGGGCGCCGAAGTAAAAGTTATATTACTATTGATTAGATAATACTATTGACTTTTATTAGGGAGCTTGTAGAGAGTCAACAGTATTAGAAACTGTAAGAAAATCACGGCGCCCCACGTTTTTTTTTTCGCTTGCATTATTGTGATGTATAGCATTTATTTTCTACTTTTTAGTTCAATCAGAAAACGTGGGTTTTTTAAAACTTTTTTAATGATTATTATTTTCTACTTTTTAGTCTTTGTCTGTTTGTTTGCATTAAAATCTTGCTATCGATTTTATCTTTTCACTTTTTTTTGGGTAAACGAAGACAACTCGTAAAAAGACAACTCGTAAAAAGACAACTCGTAAAAAACACGTTGTGTGAATACGTTACTGACTAGAACACATAGATTTGAACCTGTGTCGAGGATAGCAATCGTGTGACCAACCACTCGACCATATCGTCTCCCCCATACTGGCCACCAGTTGTTACGGTTGTTTGTACACAAATTACAGTTACTGGGTTATGTCCCTTTTTCCCCACGTTTTTACTACAACGAGCCGACCCGCGGCATATCATACGCCGCTATTTAGTTGATTTATTTTCTACTTTTCAGTAATTCATAATTTGTGAATTCGACAGTACCAATGCTGCCACTGAAAATATTTGCTTTAAAACACTAACCCCCCTCCTTTCCCCTAACCCGACCCTACAGCCCCCCTCCCCCCCCGTGAAAGCAGCCTCCTCTTAGTTACCTCCTGTAAGTTTAAAGTCGGTTCAAACTAAATTATCTGCCCCTAATAGCCGTCACTAAACCTGGCTGTACGGTTTGTAAACATTAACGTGACCACAGCTCAGCAGACCATGTGGGGGTGGGGTAGGGTGGTAGTGATAGTGATAGAGAGAAAGAGAGGGGACTGTAAGGAGGCGCTTGCAGCTTGTTTTCTAATGGCTCCCAGAGGAGAATTATATATATAGATTATATAGCGGTCTAAAATGCTCAATAAAATGTTTCCATGGATCAATTTAGTAATAATAACAATTGAATATTCTAATGTCATCCAAAACAAAGCTTCCCTGAAAATTTCAGCGCGCTAGCTAACTGGGAAGTGCCAGAAATTTCGATAGCAAGATTTGATTGGAAAGACAAACAGAGACCAATGACAATTACTTTAGTCAAAGCAATTTTAAAAACTAAAAGCTCACACATTCTAAATACTGTCTGAGATAGTACTTAAGTCCCTTTGAACTCCGCCATAATTTACACAGCAATAAATTAGTACAAATGTGAAAACCTAAATTATATTTACCTTCTAGGTACTGAGATTGGTAATTCATCTTCTAAATTCTCCTCATCAAATGTCTTTGGTTTAAGCATTTTTTGCTGGTTTTGACAATCAGCCATCTACTTAAACTATTCTCTAGGCACTGGACCATAAAGGGAGAGAATATTCTGTTAAAGATACAATTACTTTTAATGTAAAACATTTATGAAGAAAAAAGTATTGATAACAGATGATAATTAAAATGAAATGAGTGAATATGATTAGACATAACCTAGTCTCACTAATTGAAGCTTTTTAATTCTAATTTCTATTAATTAAAAAAACAGAACTAGCTGTGGTAATGATGTAGAAAAGGGCTGCGTTAGTGTGTGAGTGTGAGAAAGAGAGGGAGACAGACACAGAGAGAGAGAGAGAGAGAGTGTTTATTACATTAATTTTACAGTGACCAGGCCTGTAAGCTGAATTTAATTTAATGAGTTATTTTTTAGTACCATTCATTTATCATTTGTTTTGTAAATATTATATGTCAGAATTTTGTGTCTGCTTTTTGACAGTTCTGTTTAAACATCTTGCTAGGCAAACATCATGACTAGAATGATGGGTCAACAAACTTAAATATAAAGGGTGCTTTCTAGCATATATCCCCTTATTATTTTGGTGAACGGAAAAAAGTCACAGAAAAAAGTCACAAAGTCCAGTTTTTGCTAGGAAAATAAGTCACAGAAAAAAGTCACACAGGAAAAATTTTATGTGAAAAAAGTAACAAAAATTAAGACACAGAAAAGTCACAAAAATATTCTAATAAATATTTTGATTTTAATGTCTATAATTGTAAAATGTGGGTGTTTATTAATGTGCGTGGTAATTTCTTCTGTTGCATATTTGTTAACTTTAAAAGCATTATGGTTTATAACAATAGTAAGTTAAAATACAGTAAGATAATGTACATAGCAACCTCAACTTTTGTTACGTATATAGTTAAATATACTGTGGAAAATTATTATAAAATAAATGTAGGCTCATCCTTGTGTTTATGTTTTTGCCACAGGCCTGATCTTGGTAGGCTTCTGCTCAGTCCGCTTTGTCCGTCCAAATTGTCTGTTGGTTGTTGACATTTCACGTCAATGAAAGCCTTTTAGTTTGTTGGCTTTCTGTTTAGAACCTAATTCTAAATCTAATCTCTAGTTTAGTACTAGATATAGATCTAGTATTAATATTGACTAGATCTAGAGAGATCTTGTAAAGTAGAGTAGTGTAGCAGTAGATCTAGATCTCTAGATTCTAGGGTAATCTATCGTTTTAGGTACGTAAAATCGCCCGTGGCTAGTAATGTACGAAAAAGTTACCTCATTGTCAAGGCTTTAATAGAAGTATAGTATATTGTGATATATTTGTGTCAGATATTATAAATAAATGAATAATAAACCTAAATCAATGGCTAGATATATCAATACAGGCAAGAAATTAACTTTAAACAGCAGTGTTTGCGAGCAGGATTTGCTATATAAAAAGCGGCCATCTGTAAGTTAGAGTGGCTTCCCCTGAATCTCGCGCTATAAGTTTATAAAAAAAACTTCAACAAGATGGCTGCTATAGTAAATGAGCAATGTTGCATCTGTTGGAAACATTGCTAGTTTTCATTCATAACTGAAAAGTTTTAATTCAATGGACACCAGCGAGAAAAGTCTCAAAGGTATTTGAGAGGTCCATAAATTAATTTTAAAATCTTGCACGGTGTAGTTACAATTAATATGGTTATAAAATCCTGTCTGTTTGGTTTTTTTCGGACTTTACTAAAGATTGGATGTATTTGATGTTTTTAATATTTTCGGTAACTAAATAAAAATAAACCGGGAGTGATCTCCCCTAAACTTTCTCGAATATTCTTATATAACTTGAAATATAGACATGATTTTTAGTTACTTAAACTTTTAAAAATAGAATCTCATAGAAAAAAAGTTTGAAAGAAGGTAGAAAATTAGATCTTTTACTCACATGTGAAACTTCATTTATCTATCTGAAGTAGTACTCAAGTTATAGGCTTTTGAAAAATTCAAAGTAGAAAAAGTACCACTTCCGGTTATCGGAAATCGCTCAAAAGTTGATCAGGATCTACGATTTTGATAAAATACTCATATATGAATATTTCATCAACCTAGCTGTAACGGTACTCAAGTTATCATATTTACACACAGACAGACACACAGACATACGGACAAGATTGCAAAATTATGTTTTTCCGTATCAGTGAGGTGTAAAACGTCGAGATTTGTGAAAATCTCGATAATTTTTTTGTGCACGATTACAATACTCTCTCTCTATATACGAGAAAGTAAAAAGCACATTTTTATCCCATGTCAACAACATTACGGAAGGATTTTCGTCAAGTCACTGGTGTCCATTGTTTAAAAACAGGTAGGCTACATAAATGAAGCAGGGAAACATTTTGGTAATCTATCGTTTTAGGTATGTAAAATCGCCAGCGGCTATTAATGTACGAAAACGTTACCTCATTGTCAAGTCTTTAATAGAGGTCTATTGTGATATGTTTGTGTCAAATATTATAGATAAATGGATAATAAACCTAAATCAATGGCTAAATATATCAATATAGGCCAGAAATTAACTTTAAACAGCAGTGTCTGCGAGCAAGATTTGCTATATAAACAGCAGCCATGTGTAAAATAGAGTGGCTTCCCCCTGAATCTTATAAAAATAAAACTTAAACAAGATGGCTGCTATAGTAAATGAGCATGGTTGCATCTGTTGGAAACATCGCTAGTCTTCATTTATTACTGAAAAGTTTTAATTCAATTGTTTAAAAACAGATACATAAATGAAACAAGGAAACATTTTTGTATTTTAAAAAACATAAATTCTCCTCAAAATGTGAAATAATTATTAAAAGTTAAGGAGTCACCTGTTTTTCACATTACAAGTCGCGGGCGATTTTACGTACCTCTTCTTCTTCTTCGTTCTTAATTATTAGTGTTGAAGGGGATCGAGATTTATCTGCCAGTGGGTTTGAACTCGAGACTTTGTTCGAATTTATCAACCATGAGCTTTTTGCCGACTCGACCACGCCTCCAACACAATTAAGCGTTACGTGTCAACTGGTTATGCGCCATTGAGGCCATTGACTACAACTTTAGCCTGCTTTTCTTTTTGGATTTGCTTCCATAGCCTTTGTCCAACCAAGAACAAACTACAAGGCAGCAGTTGTTTAATTTTGGAGTTGTCTCTCCTAGAAGAGTGGCTGTCCCCAGCTAACGAGCCTCATCTGCCCAAGGGTTCGAACTCAAGACTTTTCGGTTTAGCAACCATGAGCTTTTACCGACTCGACCACGCCGAGTTTTACGTACCTAAAACGATAGATTACCAACATTTTTATATTTTTCAAAACATAAATCCTCCTCAAAACGTGAAATAATTATTAAAATTTAAGGAGTCACCTGTTTTTCACATTACTAGTCGCGGGCGATTTTACGTACCAAAAACGATTCTAGCTAGAATCTAGATTTAGATCTAGATCTAGATCAAGATGTCTGATCTAGACTAGATCTAGATCTAGTAAAATCTAGTTGCCTCTCCGGACTCTCCCACTCATAATGATTTGACATAATGAGTAGGCCCTATATTTTCGGATAATTTAATAAAATATTATAGATAGGCCTAATTGAATAATAAATCACCATTTAAAAGTGCTAAATCATTAAAAATATCCTGAAATCAACTTTAAACAACGAATTTTGAGATAATAACTTGGCTGTTTCTAAAAAACAAAGCCATCTTAAGAAAATTTTATTTAGAGTGGCTTCCCTTTAATTTTTATTCAAATAGTTAGTAGTCTAGGCCTAACCAAGATTTTTCCACCAATTTTTTTTACCGGGAGGGGGAGGCTCCGGTAAAAAACAACTTTTTCAATACTCGTTTTTTTCTACAGCTTCATTAAAATACACCCGCATAGGCATATGCATTTCCACTAAAAAAAAGGTGGAAAAATCTTGGTTACTATGACAACGCCTGCCATCTTGAAAAATTAACCCCCTTGTAGCCTTTCTACCATTCATACAATATTTAATTTTATTCCCAATAAATAATGAATTCAGCTAAACATTTTAAGTGCATATCTTAAAAATAATTTTTTATGAATTTACAAAATTTGTGTCCGTTCAAAACACTTAATTTTGGGGTATTTCGGGGCATTAAAACTAGTGTTTTTAATGGACCCACAATTTAAAAATTCATAAAAAATTAGTTTGAAGATATGCACTTTAAAATCGGATGCATCTTAATAATTTAAATAAAGCTGTAAAGAAATAACTGTTTTCTAACGAGTATTAAAAAAGTTTTTTTTACCGGAGTCTACCCCCTTAAAATGTAAATACTGGTAGATCTAACTGACGGTCATGTCCCCGCGCGCTGCCGCGGCCTCAGAAGCAAGCCTGACGCAATATTTTAAGAAGGTTTCATCTATATTCTTAGACTTGTGACCTTGTTTTCTAGAACTAAGTTATTTAAATGTAAATAATGTCTGCGCTATATTTCTTGGATAATATTTGTCGGGGCATGGGTTTGCCAACACTACCGCACAGCGCATGCTGTGTGAAAGCCTTGGGTGTACGTGAATTACTCTCCATGATAGTGAGGTAAAACACACTTCGGTTACCATCCAGGTGTCAGGGGTATAGACGGGCTCGGTTTAATCATCACCCTGTCAATATTGTAGGGTGCTCTTTAAAAACGTGGGCGCCATAGTAACTTGGGGCGCCAAAGCGCCTCCTGCTGGGGGCGCTGGCGTACGTGTCTGATTCAATTTAGTGAACGACTATGATACCACATCCTATCCATATTGTATCGCACTATTTAAAGGAGTGTATTCAACATAGTGATCACGGGAAAGCCCAAGGAGCCAATTGTAGCACCTTTGCGAGTCGCAGCAGGAGGTGTCTGATTCAATTTAATGAGCGACTATAGCTACCCATTGTATCCATAGCGAATCGCACTCTTTAAAACGAACGTAGGCGCACGCACGCAAACACGTTCTCACACACACACGCACGCATGCACGCGCGCACACACACATACACGCACACATAAACACACACGGAGAAAATTGCAAAGCCCAGTTTTTACGCATCGATGACGAGTAAAATGCCGAAATTTTTCACAGCAGTTAAAAATAACTATCTAGCATACATTTTAAAGGAATTTTTCTTTAATGCAAATGTTGTCTTAGCTTATTTTTACATGTAGTCAAAGCAGAAGCGTAAACAGGTTTTCGGGTTAGGGAGAACTATGGGTAGCTACGATCAATGGGTTAGGGTTATAAAAGGGGCGGGATATCACACACACCGGGGGGGGGGGGTTGATCTTTAGCTGCCGTTAGCTCTTACATCACCCTGGGTGTGGCTGTACCACTTAGTGGATCGGCCATCTGATTGGCGACCCACCGGTCAAGCGGAGCGCGGGGTGGCCCAAGACAGCCTTCCCTGTGACCAATAGCGGAAACGCTGGCCAGGTAACAAAGGGGCTTAACCGCCCAGATCACTTAGTGGATCTGACACTGATTATCGCCCACAAAGAAGCCTGAGTTTGACCACGGGGGGAGAACGGGATCAGAGACGGTCTGTGCGTATTGACAGACTTGCTCTTTGACACTTAGGACATGACGGTAGCCAATAAATACGGACCAACGAAACCCGACGGGACAGTACGACCAGATAGTACACGAGAGACGACAGAGTAGACTCTGGTTCTGGTACAAAGTAAATCCAGACCAAATTAAGAAATCATTACGGACGAGTTTATGGTGACCAGACTTAGGGGTGAGTAAGATTGTGCGTAGCTGTCATTGTTAGTGTATGAGTTGTGAATATTTTGTACTAATGTCCGATGGTATGTTTATAGATAGGGTATAGTAGTGTAAGAATAGCTTGTGATGATTAACCTTTTTTGTGTCGATTTATTTACAGACTGTGGAGGTCTGTTGTTTTTTTTTTTAGTTTTTGGCTTTTCATTGTAAATAAAATCATCGAACCTACCATCGTGTAGAAAAAAGCGTGTTGCTGCATTCTTTCATTGGTTACATTTGGCGCTGCGAGCATGGTAAAACCCAACAAGACTAGCCTTTAACGGCATCCATTGTTCGCTGAGTCACCGGACGAGGGCAACCTAGGCCTAACTGACGAAGGCACCCAAGGCCTATCTGACGAGGGCACCCTAGGCCTACCTGACGAGGGCACCCTAGGCCTACCTGACGAGGGCACCCTAGGCCTACCTGACGAGGGCACCCTAGGCCTACCTGACGAGGGCACCCTAGGCTTAACTGACGAGGGCACCCTAGGCTTAACTGACGAGGGCACCCTAGGCCTACCTGACGAGGGCACCCTAGGCCTACCTGACGAGGGCACCCTAGGCTTAACTGACGAGGGCACCCTAGGCTTAACTGACGAGGGCACCCTAGGCCTACCTGACGAGGGCACCCTAGGCCTACCTGACGAGGGCACCCTAGGCCTACCTGACGAGGGCACCCTAGGCTTAACTGACGAGGGCACCCTAGGCCTACCTGACGAGGGCACCCTAGGCCTACCTGACGAGGGCACCCTAGGCTTAACTGACGAGGGCACCCTAGGCTTAACTGACGAGGGCACCCTAGGCCTACCTGACGAGGGCACCCTAGGCCTACCTGACGAGGGCACCCTAGGCTTAACTGACGAGGGCACCCTAGGCTTAACTGACGAGGGCACCCTAGGCCTACCTGACGAGGGCACCCTAGGCCTACCTGACGACGGCACCCTAAGCCTACCGGACGAGCGTACTGTACAAAGTTGTTCTCAGTCACGAGTTTAAGAAATCTTCAAAACTAAAACGTCATTTGAGACGAGCCATTCGGAAAACACCAAAAAATAAAATATTTAAAAAAAACTTTTTAAAAAACCACGTTTTTCTTGTGGACTAAAAAGTAGAAAATAACTATTTACATACATTTGATGACAAAAAACGTGGGTACGTTCACCATCAAATTTCCCGACCCATCTGCCCGACCCACGTTTTTTGTCATCAAATGTATGTAAATAGTTATTTTCTACTTTTTAGTCCACAAGAAAAACGTGGTTTTTTAAAAAGTTTTTTTTAAATATTTTATTTTCTCCTTTTTAGTCCGTTGCTACACATGAAAAACGTGGTTTTTAAAAAGTTTTTTATATAGTTTATTTTCTACTTTATCTAATCACTTGATTAAGTATGACTTGACTAAGTGTTTTTAAATACACGGACTAAAAAAATCTTGAGCGACCGATACGCTTTAAACAGAGAAAGGGTGTAATTTACGTTGCTGGCCTGGAGATCTACTCACGAATCACGTGATCAAATCTCCCATAAACAAACAAATAAACGCGAAGCTGAGTTAAGGAAAAACGTGTTTATGTGTATTTTAGCATGCCCAGCGTACCAACCGTGTCACC